CACAATGCAATACTCTAAAGCATGCAGGAGCAATGATTTTGTAAATTGTTACCTAACTTTGGAGGGACTGGAGAACATTATGCTGAAGTAACTCAGTCCCACAGGATAAATATTGTATAAAACCATTATTGTAGAATAAATATATGGATCCAGGAGGGGTTGGAGAGGGTGGAAGTAGAGGGATGAGGATGTGCAGGGGGCGGGGGGAATTAATCATCGGGTTGTATAATTTGATGGGGCTGTGTGAGAGAAGTATGTTCAAATTTATATTCTAATTTTGTAAATAAACTAGTATACAGTATAAAAAAAACTAAAAACAACAAAAAACCCCCACAACCCTAAAAAAAAAAAGAAGTAAAACTGATAGACAGTGTTATGTGTAGAAACCTGACTTAGCCTAACCTAGGTGGACGCAATGATTTATTAATATGAGCTGCCAAATTATTTTTGTTGTTTCATTCTCTTTGTATTAGATATATGAAAAATATTTTAGCAATTTAGTGTTACAGACTCTCACGTGGAAATATTTTTGTTCGTTTGGGATTTGTTATATACAAAATGTTACTGTGCCAGTCAAGTTGATTATGATCTTAGCAGCCCTATAAACAATGGATCTGAACCTTGCTTTATTCTGCTGCACCCTCACCATCTCAGCTATCCTTCCTTGTGCTCACTGCTACAGTCCATCAGTTCAGTGGTAAGAATCTTTGTTTTCTCGATATTGAGACAATCTGTACTGAAGCCTGCATTCCTTGATCTTCTGCAACAAATCCTTCAAGTTCTCCTCACTTTCAACAAGTAAGGTTGTATAAGCTGTATAAAGCAGGTTACTGATGAGTCTCCCTTCATTCCTGATGACACATTCTTCTTCATAGAGCTCAGGTTCTCAGATAAGTTGCTAAGCATATAGAATGAACAGGTATGGAGAGAGAATACAACCCAAACACACCCCCTTTCCATTTCAGAACCATGCAGTTCTCCCTGCTCCGTTTGCACAACAGCCTAGTCCTAATGCAGGTATAGGTTCCTCATGAAAACAATCAAGTACTCTGGGATTCCCATTCTTCTCAATGTCAGCCACAACTTGTCATGAGCCACACAGTCAAACGCCATCCAATACCACCATCCATTACCAAATACTTATTCAAAGCCTCTTATGTACTATTTTACCAACACATGCATGGAAATAAAGTTATTCTCTTTTTGAAAGTTTATATTCTGATAAAGCTAGACCTACAAATTAATAGAATTATATCAGGTTGAGGTAAGTGCACTGAAAAAAACCTAACACAAAAATCACGAGATGATATTAGTATTTAGTGGATGCATCTTTCTTTCTCTTCCCTTCCCCCCTTCCTTCCTTTTTCTCTTTCTCTGTCTCCCTCCCTCCCTCCCTCCCTCCCTCTCTCTCTCTCTACGCAGAGTTCTAGAAACCGCTTATACAACTGTGAACAGGCTTGAAGGCTAGTGACCACAGTCTCAGGGACAATTTGCAGAAAACATTTCATAAAGGTAATGTTCTATATCCTTGTTTGGTGAGTTAACATGTAGGGTCTTTAATGTCTGCTAAGAGTTATCTAAGATACAACTGTTGTTTCTTCCAGTGTGCACCAAAAGAGGAGAAAACCAAAGACTCAGGTAGCAAAGGGGTAACGGCCACACAAACTGCTGCCTTCTCTCAGAGCAGAATCGAGCTCAACTACCACTTGTGACTGCTTGACTGTGAACACTGCAGTAGGTCCCAGTTAGAATAGGGGGAAAATGTAAAACAAAATTCAAATTCATATCAAAGATCACACTTACTGATCTTATAGAGACTGGAAGAACTTTGCCCCAAGTTAGCCTTCTAACAAAAAGAACAGACTGGATAGAATAGGGGAAAAATGTAGAATAGATTTAAATCAGCTTTATTGCTCCTATAAAGACTGGCGGAGCCCCTTAACCACTCTGTAAACCTAGAAAAAAGCTCATTCTTTTGGCTGTAAGGTGACCAATAACACCAGGGAAGCACTTAGTCCCTAGAAGCACCAATCATATAAAGTTAAAAGAGAAGCATTTGTCCAGGGAAAAAGCCCTGAAAGCAGGAAGAGGTAAGAAGATAGAGGGGTTAATGGAAATGACAATCACAGGTAGTAAGTGAGAAAACTACAATTTCTATTAGGGGTATTGTAATGTTATAAAAAAAAATTTGTATGAATGTCTGAATAAAAACAAATTTTCTTTATAAACCTCCACTTAAATCACAATTAAAAATATAGCAAACCAAAGTTAATAGATCAAAATATGGGAGATAGCAGAGGAAATGAAATATCAAAAACACTCTTGTGACTTTCTCTGTTCAAAATAATACACTGAATATTCAAGAATCTAGTATTTCTAGTTCTCCTTAAGCAGATCACCAGATCTACTGGCAACAAGACAGAGGTGTTTCTTTCATTCTGCAGGATCAGCCTCAATGTCTGTGCTTCCTGGTTATTATCTACTATATGTTCCTTTCTCCTATCCTAGCCCATCTAAATTCTTATCATTACTTCATTGTATGTTACAACTCTGAAGCATGCTGTCCATATCCCTTCTAGGTAGAAGGAATCTTTATGTTTTTATTATGGCATTTAATTCTTCTGCATCAGCAGTTCTAAACACATAGCAAACTAATGTTCTCTAGGTGCTGATATAAAAACAAAACAAAACAAAACAAAACAAAACAATTCTGTCCTATCTCAGATCACTTAACCCAAAATCTCTGGGAGTAAAGTTCAGTATTTTTAATGCTCCTCAAGTTTTCAAATTGACAGCTTAGAGATACAAGTCATTGCTTTATACACAGTAAAACCTGGAATCTGTAAAGCAGAAACCAATGGAGAACAAAAACTCAAATACTTTCTCTCACAAGTGGATAGAAAAAGGACAAGTCTGCATGCTGTCAAGGGCAGAAAATGCGCAAGGCTTAGAAAAACAAGCCATTTAGTTCTGGCTCTCAGAGATTTGACTAACATGTCTTACTGACAACAAATGTACCTTCATGTCTCTAAACTGATAATCTATAATTAAGTTAGATCTAAGTTTTTAAAATTGGACTTTTGTACCTTGAGAAAACAGTTTACTGAAGAACCAAATGTTCCTAGTTCCTATCTAGTACATATTTTTAGTTTAAGTTTAAAATATAAATGCTCAGTAAAAGTACAAAAGTTCTATGAGATCTCAAAATGCTCCTATCCAGACAAAGAATCCGAAGGGTTTTTCCTTATTTTTTTAAAATTATGCAGATTTCCCCCATACTTTCCTTAACTGACATTATGTCTCACACACTGTGTTTTATAATTTTTTTTTTTTATAAAATTAATCACCACTGGATTATGCCAACCACTAGCTGGTCTTTCAACGTCCCTGCCAGATTTTTTCCCATTTCCTCTACCCCTCCCTCTACCAACAAAATTGTGCAACTCTATGATTTCACTTAAAAATTAGTTTTAGCTAAAAATAATGCAGAGCTTACCTCTCTAACATCCACCATCCATCCTCCATCAACAAACAATAAGACATTATACATTTTTTCTTTTACATCAGCAGTTAGTGCATCCAAATGCCCTTTCCAAATACCATAATCCAGCTAAAAAAAAGAGAGAGATATAAATGAAAACCCTTCAATAAAGAATGTATTTATAAAGTACAGACAAAAAAATAGAAAATCATTCAATCATTCTAATGAGTTGGTATTTCAGTCTGGTAAATATGAAAACGAGTACTAACAGATTTACCAATAAAATGTTAAAATAGTAACTTTGAAACTAATGAGAGTTAATGCCATCTGATAGTATTTTTTATGTTTGGCAATTACTCACAAACTTATAAAGATAACACATTAACAGAAAGCTAACTTGTTTTTACAGGAAAATGATGCTAAGGAAATGACCTCTTTATGTAATACTCATTTTCAAGATACAATGAACACATTTCATGTTCATATTCAACTTACTTCATATTTTTTTTCTTTGTGTTCATAAGCCACTGTCTCAGTAAAAGTTGCTTGAGGTGTCAAAGTAGGTTTTTGTGGAGCTGAACTCATATGCTTAAACCATTCATTAAAGGTTTCATGGGCTTCCTAAAGTTGTGAAAAAAGCAAAAAACAAACAAAGAAACAACAAACCACACAAGAAGAAAGAAAAGTTTTCAACAGTTGGTTCTCAGAAACAGTCTTACAACATCAAGAAATAAAGCAGAACTGTTCAATACTTATAGCCCTCCCAAATAACTGTGAATAAATGTTCTGGCAAGTGACAAACACTAGTAAGGTATACATAATTTCTTCTGGCATTTCCCCCTATTTGAGCATACTAAATCTGTTTACACATTGTTTTCTGTTATATGCCCTTGAGTCACCTGTGATTCATAGCAACACTATGTACAACAGCCCTAAACGCTTCTCTATCCCGTGCCAATCTTAGACACACCCATCCCCATTACCCCAGTTACTGAATCAATCCACCTCATAGAGAGGGTCTTCCTCTCCTGAGCAGTCACTCCAACCTCCCAAGCATGTCATCTCTCTCCAAGAATTGATCCCGCCAAAGTATGTCAGATGAAGCTCCAGAATCCTTGTCTCCATGGAGCAGCCTGGCTTAACTCTAAGATGAACTTGTTTGTTCTCCTAGCAGTCCATGGTATATTCAATATTCTTTTCCAGCGCCACACAGCTCAAAGGCATCAATTCTCCTTCTATTATCCTTAGTCACGGTCCAGCTTTCTGATGCATAGCAAGTAACTGCCATGGCCTGTATCAGGTGCACCTTAGTCTCCAGATTGACACTGTTGCTCTACAGTACTTTGGAGAGGTCTCTTACAGCAGATTTTCCCAATGCAATTAGACTTTTAATTTCCTGGTTGTTGGTACCAAGTGTTTATTGTAGAGCCATATAAAGGGAAGCTGTTAACAATCTCAATCTCTTCACCATCTATCATGATGCTGCCAATCAGCCCAGTAGTAAGAATCTTTGTTTTCTTGATCATTTTTTCCCCGTCCTCGACCTTTTGCAGCAAGTGCATCAGTTTCTCCTCAGTTTCAGCAAGCAGGGTTGTGTCATCTGCATAATGCAGATTGCTGATAAGTCTACCTCCAATCCTGATGCCACAATTCTCCTCATAAAGCCCAGCCTCCTGGATAACTTGTTCTGCACAAAGGTTGAAAAGACAGGGAGATAGGACACATTCTTGGTGCACACCCTTCCCAATTTTGAACCATGCAGTGTTTGCTTTCTCTGTTCTGACGACTGTCTCCTGGTCCAAGTATAGGTTTCGCAAGAGCACGATCAAGTGTTCTGGGATTCCCATTCTTCTCAGAGTCAGCTACAGTTTGTTGTGATCCACACAGTCAAATACCTTTGCTTAGTCAATGAAACACAGATAGACATTCCTCTGGTACTCTCTGCTTTTAGCCAAGATCCATCTGACATTTGCTATAATAACCCTAGCACCATGGCCTCTTCTAAACCCCCTATGTGATAAATGCCTCTTTATCCTTCGAACTGTGGTGCTGGAGAAGAGTACTGGATATACCATAGACTGCTAGAACAGATTCTTCCGGGAGAGTTGTGAAACCAGGCTGCTCTTTAGAGGCAAGGATTCTAAAGCTTAGTCTAACATAGTCTGGGCATGTTGTAAGGAGGGACGAGTCCTTGGAGAGGGACATCATGTTTGGGAGGGTGGAGCAACAGTGCAAGAAAGGAGGACCCTTGATGAAATGGACTGATTCAGTGACTGGGGTAATGGGAGTAGGTGCGCCAGAAACAAAAAGGTTGGGTCAGGATAGAGATGGATTCAGAGCTGTCGTACATAGGGTTGCTATGACTTACAGTCTACTCAATGGCATATAACAACAACATCCTTTTTTAAAATTAATTAATTAATTAACAACATCTTTTAAAGTAGCCAAATAGCTTCCAGGAGACAAGAAAGATGTGCTCCCCAGATTTAGCCCAGTACTTAGTACATGACAAAAACTTGATTACTGACTAAAAGAATTTTGAGTATGTTTTTGTTAAGTATGTAGCTATTAACAGAAAGGTTCAAATCCACCAACTGTTCAATAGGATAAAGATGTGACAGTCACTTTCATGAAGATTAGAGTCTTGGAAACTCTATGGGGCAGTTCTATTTATTCTGACCTTCGTGGTTGCCAGAATTGACTCAGTGATAATAAGCTTGATTTTTTGGGTGATGGGTGTTCTAGGCAAATGTAGAATATATTTTCTCAGTTATGGCAAAAGTAGAAATACCAACACTGAGACAAGCATTCAAGAATCTTAAGAAAACTTAAGTCTGATATCATACCTACTACTATCACATATTTTGGATTGGCTAAGCATTGATCAGAGGATAACGGTAATAAAGACAAGTTCATGGTTTCACTCTCTGTGGTCATCATCAGTAATAACAGACATAAAGGAGGAAATAAGTCAATCATTTCTGGAAAAAAGTTCAAAAAGTAAATCAGAAAATCTTATGTGGTCTGACACATCTGGAAATTTCTTTAAATTCTTACCAAATAAGCTCGAATGCACAAGTGTTCTCTGATAGCATTATCATCTTCAGCAGGAAGTGGACTTTCCATTCCTTGTTCCTCCCACTGATTATAGATTTCTGCTATAGAATCCTGAGGAATTTTCATGAACACTTCTTTTGCAGCCTCATGCTTCTTTGATGCTGTGCCCAAAAGACGCAAAAATTTTCAATAAACATAAAACTTGTGTAATGATTTTTAAACAAGTCATGATTGCTTGCCACTTCTATATTAAATTTTAACCATTTAAGGTCCCCAGACATGTCTGTTGAAGGTCTGGGAGATATTTGTACCTAACAGGCTTGCCTTTTCTTTCTTTTTTTTTTTAAATTTTATTTTATTTTATTATTTTTGTGTGCGTGTACCGTCAAATCAGATCTGACTGGTACAGGAGGAGATTGCCCCTCCTTCCCCGGCAAAGCATCTGGTGGATTCGAACCGTGCACCTCTGGGATTGTAGTTGCAGCTTCTTGCCACTAGGCCACCAGAGCTCCCGCCTTTTCTTTATCTTAATATGACATTAAAATAAAAGATATCAAGTACGGTTACTTTTACATATTTTCATGTCTTTTAAACCAACTGCCTTGAAATTATCCTTGAAACTGGCAAGTAGAATGGAAATTCGTGGTTAAGATATTTTTGTTTCACAATAACAAGTGTGAAATATGAACGTGGCAGTTTTGTTTTGTTCCCAGTGGAAAGATTAAAACAAAACAAAACAAAAAACAAACCAACCCCAACAAACACATAAAATTCCAGCATACATAGATGTGAACAAGTTTTTTTACAAGAAAATAAAAACAGAGCATACCTAAGAATTTTCTCATTATTGCATTGCCTTGTTTTAGTGCTTCTGCCCTCTGTGCTGGGTCGAATACCAACCAGTCAATGACATCAATCTTTAAACGATCCTCCTATTTGTTTAAGGGAGAAAAATTTAAAAAAAAAAAGTTTTTCCTGGGATGCTCCACAAATTAGTAGAAGTAACTTATGTTCACAATCCCCATGAACAGTTTATACAAAATTAGATTCTATCTTTCCTTAGTTTATGCTATATTTAACAATTCTCTATTAAACTACAGAAAATACTATTAGACTGTGAATACAGGATCATATATTTTATTTCTTAGGATCATGTATTTCATTTTTTATTCCATTTTCTCCCTGCTAAAGTAATTTCTCCCCCTTAAAAGAATCTTTATTTAATCTTTAGAATGACTACTTATGTTTGGATAAGCTTTTAAGATGGTTTTTAGTATCTTCTGATTAAATTGTATGGCAATATTGCTGTTAAGTGCCTCTAAGTGTAACTCATTACAACAAAGAAATGTATTATTCTGAAACATAGTGACTAGTTTGCACATACGTTGTTTTAAAAAAACAAATACAATGTCTAACATATGGCTGAATAAAGAATACAACACAATGTACTCTGAAAATGGGGAAAAAAGCCAACTAAAGAGAACAAATCTCTTGGGACTCACAGTGGTCTTACCTATTAAAGGATTTAACTAATAGGTATGATTCTAAAAATGTTTTCTGTCATGGACTGAACTATTCCTTCTGAAAATACAAATATCTAAGATATGTAAGAGGTAATATTTTATTAAGTACTGGGAATAACCTTATGAGCAAATATTCACACTTAAGATTTTTTCTACTTTAAACCCCTCCTCAAAAAACTCATACAACTTCTTTCAAGATTCTACTACTATAAGCAATTAGTTAAGTAAGATCATAAATCTGTTACCAATTTTGATAAACTATAAACTTTTGGCTGACAAAGAAAAACTATAAAATGAAAGAAACTACTGTGTATTAAAGTAGAAGCCAGTTCACCAAGTAACATCAGGCTCATCTATGAAATTTACAATCCAACTTACCTCAGTAGTGCCAGTACCTAGGGCTGGTGCTTGGTCATGATGACTGAATTCACCATTATCTTTTTTCCGAATATTCTCAACTACAGTTTTTGTTATTGTTGCAACATCCAAATCTAAAGAATTTTTTAAGAGGAAAAAAAAACCCAACAAAGATTATTGGAGATGAAATTAAACAGTCAAAATTATTTTGCAAATTTGGAGTAATATTTATCTTAAAATATGACAGGCAGAATATGAAAATCACTAGAAAACAGAAAATGCCAAATTTTAATGTTATACATTATAGAGTACACACAACTTATTTGGTTTTTAGAACAAATCTTCACTGGCAAGTATTTTTTTTAAAGAAATTATTTAAAAGTAGAAGAAGTACAAATATCAAAATGGTGTTTCATCTAGAATGTCCAATAAATGACCATTTCAATCATGTTTACCTGCTTCTTTAGCAAGTTCCAGGCAATGGTGGCGCTGTTCAAATTCTGTAACACCTTCCAAAAATAATGCATACTGGGCAACAGCTAGGTCTTGAGGCAAATGACAGGTATAAAATGCTATGAGGTTTGTATGTTTTTCACTAATTAAAAGCTGGAAAAAAGGAAAGATATTAAAATATGTTAATAATAAAACAAATTATAATATGAGCAATGCTTTTTAAACAGTTTTTGTAAAAATTTCAAGTGTTAAACACAAAAATTGGAGCAATTTCTAGTTACATAGATCCATGCTGTTAAATAATTTGAAATTGAAAAGAAATGTACTAATGATTATTACAAGATTTCTCATAGATTATGATGACTTTACCATCCAAAGTATTGACAGTGCCATTCTGACCTCCATTTCATGAAAAAAGGGAAAAAGGGTCAAACTATGGAATCTTAAAATTTACCTGTATACTCTGTAAACATTCATTGAAATTAATAATAATAATAATAATAATAATAATAATAATAAAACCCTCCCAGTTACTGTAAAAAAAAAAATTACCTGTATATATGTCTTTAAAACTTCAACAGAAACTTCTTCCTTTAGTGGGAAAAAAAAATTAAAAAGATAATTAAAACTCATTATAAACACAACTGTTTATAACAGCAACAGGTAATAAAAAGCTTGGCACTGAAGTCTTCAAGAATTTTAATATTAACCACTGGCTAAGTGGATAAGGAGTTTCACTGCCAACTGAAAGGCAGGCAGTTCAAATCTACCAGTTACCCCACAGAAGCCAGGCATCTCTTCCTGGAATTTACAGCCTTTGAAATTCCACTGGAGGGTTCTAACCATTGGTTCTCATTTGATGGTAATGAGTTACTATTTGCTCAAGGATACACTGTGTGCTTGGAAGAGTTCATATATGCCCAATGCCTGATTTAACCTCAAACTCTTTGCAAGTAGTTGTATTATTGTCTAATATTTTACAAGTAAAATTGCACAGCCACCAGCATTTTGCAACAACAGATAGAACCCGAAACAGTCACTCATAATGAATTATTATTGAGTGACTATATGAGACTTTACTATCTAGCACCATTTTTAGGGGCTCTGGTGCCCTGGCGATAAGGACATGTCCTGCCAACTCAAAGGTTGTTGTTGTTATATGCCGTCCAGTCGCTTGCGACTCATAGCAACCCTATGTACAATAGCCCTAAACTCTGCTGCCCTGTGCCAATAGCACTGTCTCTGATACTCCCATCCCGATTATCCCAGTCACGGAATCAATCCACCTCATAGAGGGCCTTCCCCTCCTGCACTGTCCCTCCACCCTCCCAAGCATGATGTCCTTCTCCAAGGACTGGTCTCTCCTTACAACATGTCCAAAGTATGTTAGACGGAGCCTCAGAATCCTTGCCTCCAAGGAGCCACCCGGTTTAACCCTTTCCAGGATGAATCTGTTTGTTTTCCTAGCAGTCCATGGTACTCTCAATACTCTTCTCCAGCACCACAGCTCAAAGGCATCAATTCTCCTTCTATCCTCCTTGGTCATTGTCCAACTCTCTGATGCATAACAAGTGACTGCAAAGACCATGGCCTGCATCAGACACACCTTAGTGTCCAGAGAGACACAACTGCTCTTCAGTACTTTGGAGAGGTCCCTATGTACATAGGGGTTTTTAGAAGCCTGCTCTTTCAGAAGTGGATGGCCAATCCTTCTTCCTAGACTGTCTTAATCTGAATGTTCAGATTTAGAGAAGTATCAGACAGACCAGCATTTTATAGAAAAAACTCAAAGGTACTTTGTTCAAATTGACTAGCTCCTCCACAAGAGAAAGATGGGCAATCTCCACCCATGTGATTTTCTGCCTCTGAAAACCCGCAAGACGGTTAGCTATGAGTTGGTTCAGACTTGATGCTATATAACAACAACATATTATCATTTCTAGAAAATTACCACCAAAGAAAGCAGTGTTTTCCTAGAGAGAGAAATACTGCATCAGCTTTGCAAAGAAATAAAGCTTGTTCAATATCAGTTACTTTGGTTTGCAGTCCCAGAGTTCGGAAAAACAAAATGAGATGTGTCATGAAGCGGAGAAGGTGTCCAGGTAGACGGTTTCTGCTTTTGGAAAGCCATTTGTTAAATTCATCCATCAAACCTGCACGCCACAAAAGAAAAGGTTGAACAACAGGGATAAATAAGACAAGAAATAAACACCGCCAAAATAATTTATCCCCTTCCTCTTCCACTGTCAATAGCCAAAATATAGCATTCTCTCCATACTCTTACTTAAAACAGATGGCTTTTGCTTTATATCACATCAATGAAGTGAATAGTGTATTCAAGTGGTTTAAGAAAGATAAAAGAAATGTAAGTAATACACATTGTTTTGGTAATCTTTCATAAAAATTATGAGAAAAGAAATCTTATCAGGTAAAAGACAGCCATAATATCTTACCATCAATGTCTCCCAGGATAAGAAATTTCTGAACTATATGATAATGTTCCTGATTCTCCTCCAGAACTCTCTGAAAAAATGATGACATTTTCTGTAAGTCTTTTTGTGGTCACTTTACTGTTAAACAAGAAATGCCAAAATTTTGAAGGAACAAGTGTGAATAAAAAGTTGGAAATTAGGAAGAATAAAACAAAGTATGATAAATACTTTGCCTTAAAAAAAAAAGAAATATTTTGCCTTTTAAAATATATTCCAGGTTGAACGATGTCTTAGAGAACTGTGACTTAATAATTTAATGGCTTGAAACTTTATGAGTGTCACTAAATTTTTTTCAAATTTACTATGTACCTTGACACTCCATGGTACACCAGAAAGGAAAGTCAAATGTGACCTATGGAAAAGATCTACAAGAATACTTTCAACATGAGCAGCACTACTTGACAGCATTCACTGGGTATCTTCTGCATATGGCACCAACACTTAACTAGTCATCAAAACAGTGATTAGGGACAAAGGAGAGAAAATCAATTCCAAATAACTTGTGGCTATTAGATTGTTTTTCCTTGATTAATTTTTATTTAGTGAGCCAGCTAAATTTTTTCCTAGTATTTATTCTTTTTTAACTTTCAAGTCTTTGTTCTATCTGGAATTTATATTAGCACAAGGCATGAGTGATTTAGCTTTGCTTTCTGAGTAATTCTTGTTTTCCTTCAAAGATTATTTGATCTGTTTTTTTTCATATGTAGTTAGGTTTAATTTGAACTTTGGTTTCCACAGATCTAGTTATGCCTGAACTAATGCCACATTGTTCTGCTTTATCTTTATTTCCCTCTCCCCCTTTAAAGTTTACCCATTCTTATTATTCTTCTACTTGCAAATGATCTTTCCAGAAATTATGCTTCAAAGCATTAGGTTTCTAAATCATCAGAGAGGTCTGATAGTGTAGTTGTAGGGAGCTGAGATGCTAATGCAAAGGTGGCACCTCTGTGGGGGTTCAAATCCACCAACTGCTGCACGGGAAAATGATGGGCAATCCTGCTTTCATGATATTTATGGACTTACAAACCTGCTGGAGGGTCAGTTATGAGTTGACTCTAGCTCAACAACAATGAGTTGAGCTATGCAGAAACACACTGTATCTATTTATTAACACCTTACTAGATCATACAGCTCACGAAGGCCCTGAATCTTTGCAATAGATGTATTATTAACTTGTCTTCTTTTTTCTAAACTCTACTGTGATTTGGGTGAAAGTTTAGAAAGCATATTAGTTTTCCATCCAATGATTCACCTACATTTTGGTTAGTGTCCCTGGTTACTATGCACTTTTCCTACTTCTTCTCTGATTTTGTTTCTTTTTGTCCTTCCTTTCTCTCCCTACTGCCTTCTGAGCTTTACCCCTGGACAAAAATGCTGCCCTTTGATCTTACATGGTTGCTTGCTCTATGGAGTATGAACCTCCCTAGTATTTAGTTCACTTTATAGGCATAGCCACTACTTGGTATAAATTTGCATCATGAAAATGAGTTTGGTTCTGGGCTTAAAAATATTACGTCTAGATTTAGAGGGTGCTCTGGTGGCTTAACAGTAAGAACTGCACTGCCAGTGCAAAAGTATGCAGTTCAAATCTGCTAGCTGCTCTGAAAGAGAAAGCTGGGCAATCTTCTCTCATGTGATTTACTGCCTCTGAAAAACCTCTAGTGAGCCAGGTATAGTCAGTTCCAACTCAACAGTACACAACAACAACAAAGATTAATATTTTTAGAAAGTCAATTGTAAATTCTCTATTCTTTTATAAAATGTGTATCAATTATCTGATATTATTTATTAGCCAAAATCTCCAACATGACAGATGGATAGACTCCACTTGACAGAAAAAGGTTACCCTCCTTATTATATTTATGTTTAGAAAATATAAAATTCAACAATGAAAAAATACATAAAATAAAAAAATTGCAAAGTCACAGATCATCAATAAAAAAATGAAACATGCTTAGCCTTATGAGTAAACAGGGTAATATAGGAAAACTAAAACTAAACTAAATCTGATTAATCTTCAATCTCTACCCTTAAAGTTTGACCATTTGAGACTGAGAAAGCAGGAAAATAGCCATTTAAAATTATGGGAGCAGGAATTACTTGTAGGACTGAATAAACTGCTATAAGCTGCAAATAATGTATATATACTTTCATCCATTCCCAGGAAAATCATCTTAATGGAACACAAAAACTAGCAGCTGAGTATACTATTTATATAAGAATGCTCTTTATATCACAGGAGATAACCTAAATATCACCAAAAAGGTGAATGATTAAAAAACTACACATCATTCTTTAAATTATTATTGGCCTGATTAGAAAGAATAAATTGGATTAAGGTAAATCCAAATTCACTGACTTGGAGAGACTGTTAAGTGGAAAAAATATTGTAGATTAAAGTATGTAATATGGTACAAAAGTCACAAAGAACAGCAAAACTGCAATTATATATAATGAAATACTTACTGTAAGAGCTATAGATGAATATACAGAAAAGAGATATAGTTGAATAGATATCAACATAAAAATAACCCGAAAGAGCTTGGGAGGAGGTTATGATAAAAGTTTTTGTTCATGAATATTTGGATTTGTTCACTGTTGCAGGTATAGAATATTACTTGGTTATTTACAGAAGTTGAAATACTAAAAATTTAGAAGGAAAAGGAGGGATAGATAAATGAGCTTATAGGCATATCACACACTTAGAGGAAACCAGTCCTAGTCAAAGAAACAGAAATGATATATCACTTAAAAATGCAGTTAAGTTTTTTCTCTCCTTTTAAGGAATGTCTTTAATTTTGTTAACAGACAAAGGAAGGAAGAGCAGAATTAGGTTTTACATTGCTTTTCCTTTCAGCTAAAGGGCACAATGTAGTTGTTGTTGTTAGGTGCCGTCGTCGAGTTGTAGACGACTCATAGCGACCCTATGAACGAAAGGCCTGAGCACTGTTCATAGAGTTTCTGGAGGCAAGCCATTTCGGAAGTGAATGCCACTCCTGCTTCCAAGCTTGTTTTAATCGGGAAGCTCCAGCAAACACTGTCCACCATGGCTAACTATTACCACGTCTGGTACATCATGTTGTTGTTGTTATGTGCTGTCGAGTCGCCTGCGACTCATAGCGACCCTATGTACAACAGCCCTAAACTCTGCTCTGTCCTGTGCCAGTCACACCGTCTCTGATACTCCCATCCCAATTATCCCAGTCACTGAATCAATCCACCTCATAGAGGGCCTTCCTCTCCTGGGCCATCCCTCCACCCTCCCAAGCATGATGTCCCTCTCCAAGGACCGGTCTCTCCTCACAACATGTCCAAAGTATGTTAGATGGAGCCTCAGAATCCTTGCCTCCAAGGAGCCACCCGGTTTAACCCTCTCCAGGACAAATCTGTTTGTTTTCCTAGCAGTCCATGGTATTCTCAATACTCTTCTCCAGCACCATAGCTCAAAGGCATCAATTCTCCTTCTATCCTCCTTGGTCATTGTCCAACTCTCTGATGCTTAACAAGTGATTGGGAAGACCAAAGCCTGTATCAGACGCACCTTAGTCTCCAGAGAGACACCATTGCTCTTCAGTACTTTGGAGAGGTCCCTAACAGCAGACTTTCCCATGGCAATGCGCCTTTTAATTTCCTGGCTGCTGGTGCCAAGACTGTTGACTATGGAGCCAAGCAAACTAAAGCTGTGTATAATCTCAATCTCTTCACCATCTATCCTGATGCTGCCAATTGGTCCAGTGGTGAGAATCTTTGTCTTCTTGACATTGAGCCTCAATCCATATTGTAGGCTGCAGTCCTTGACCCTCTGCAGCAGGCGCTTCAGGTCCTCTTCAGTTTCAACAAGCAGGGTTGTGTCATCCGCATAACGCAGGTTGTTGATAAATCGTCCACCAATCTTGACCCCACATTTCTGCTCATAGAGCCCAGCCTCCCGGATAATCTGTTCTGCATATAGGTTGAAAAGGTATGGAGATAGGATGCATCCCTGGCGTACGCCCTTCCCAATTTTGAACCATGCAGTGTTCCCTTGCTCTGTTCTGACGACTGTCTCCTGATCCAAGTATAAGTTTCACATTAGAACAATCAAGTGTTCTGGGATTCCCATCCTTCTCAGAGTCAGCCATAGTTTGTTATGATCTACACAGTCAAATGCCTTTGCATAGTCAATGACTGTTAGTTATTACAGAGATCTCACATACAATATTTACCTTCTTATCAGTAGCTTGAAGTTCGTCAAAAACCTTTTCTAAGGTCCAACTGTGAAAGAAAGAACAGGAAAGCAACAGAAAATTAACAACAGTGGTGGAAAAAAAGTCAAGAAGCACACAGGACAAAAAAAGAAATAAATAAGCTTACTTTGTTTCCAAATATTCTCTAGGGAGCTCTTCAGTTTCATCCAGAGAAATTACTGAGGTGCGGATCTCTTGTTCTACGAGACTGTCCACCATCACTCGGAAGTAGGCCCACACGGTGTCTTCCCAGGTGTTACAGACAGGAAGAAGCTATCCCCATTCCAAAACAGAAACATATATATATATTTAACAAAAAAAGCATTTTTTAACCCAAAGACATGGACTACAAAATAATAGATACTGATATAAAACTTTAATTTTTAAAATATCATACCAAATAACTGTCTGAAATGGAACTAAGAATTTTTCCCACATTGAATTCATTAAAGGATCAATTTTCCAAAGTTGATCTAGCATGGGAATTTCTATTCACTATTATAAATGCAAAGACAGGAGGAGGGTGTGGGAAAGAAAGGTGTTTGTGAAACATCCAAGTAGTCACTGTGCCTTACTGGCATATTTCTTGATTTATAACAAGTACTGTAAGTCAATAAATGTGCGCTGGCAATTAAACATAAAATTCTTAGTTAAAAATTCAAGTCTCATTTCATTTACTAAAACATCCATGTATGGAACATCGAATTTAATAGTGCAAGTCCCCATCTTGTTTCATGAATATATCATTGCAACTTTTAAAAAGTGACTTTTAAAAAAAGTGGCTTAAGTTTATAAATTTTATTACATTATCAATATCTTTTATTACATTATCAATATCTTATTTCATTCCATATGTGTTAAAATCGATTGAAAGTAGTTTACCTGTTTAAGATTTCCACTTAAAGCTGCATAAATTGCTCTTTCGTATTTACTAAAAAGCTCCTGAAATAAATATAACAGAAATAGATTTGAAATTATTTTCACAGTATCATTTTCTCCATAATCTTCTTGAAGTTTACAGTGTCTTAAAACTGATATTTTAATATAAGGTACCTGAATTTCAAATATAGTGGGAAAGTAGGTAGAATTCTATTGGAGGTTCTGTTTATTCACAATAGATAAATTTATTAGAGATGGAATTCATTTAGATGTTTAAGCCTATGAAATATTTCTTTTCCCCCTGAAACTATTTTTTAAAATAAGCAAGAGTTGAATCATCAGGCACCATCTGCATCTCCTTCTTCTGTGATACGACCAATAAATAAGCTTCCTCATCTCCCAAATAATTATTAGATCCTCACCCCCATCTGCCTGCCAGTCCCAACCTCTCCTATGATACGAGCGGCCTGCATCCTCTGGAATATACAACCTATCAAGGTTCTACATATCTGATTCTGATCTAGGTGTAACAAACACTTAAACAAGGTATATGGAATCTGTTATTCATTAGACTGAATCAAAACCTTAAGTATAATGAATATACTTAAACTATCCTTTTTAATGTCTGGGTTTCTGTTAGCATTTCCAGTTTTCTTGTCACCCAGACAAGAGCTTTCAGAGACCTAATTAGGTATTTCTTTGTGTCCTGAACCAAACAACAGTCATGGACCATTCTTCCTTTCTTTCCACTCCCACTGATGCTAGTTCAGGATAGGTACTCATTACTTACTATATTTAACTCTAAGTCATTTTTCTCAAGTCATGCTAATTTATTTTTTTATTTTTTTCACTGT